TGTGAGTACAACTGATTGTGCTGTAAACTTTGATTCAGCTTTAAATGTTGGTGTTGCATGCATTTAAATAACATATTCTAACCTTTATTTGAAATTCTAACAGCATTAACATATCACTTAAAAACAAGTGCTTAGTTCATTATATTCAAATATTTATTTTCTGTTATATTTCACAACTGTAACATTTTCTTTCATTCTTTTGATACTTAAAGGATCACTCAATTCCATCAACAAAACCAAAGATCTTTCAAAATAACTTTAACTGTAAGCTTTGGGCAGTTTTTAATTGACTGTTAACTTACTAAACATAATTATACACAATGACTGTCATCTTACGACCTGACTGAACTGTAACGTCAAAGCTAATGTGGTTATGAATAGAAATTTGGCAGCATGGTCAGGAATGTCTTTTTAGTATGGAAAGATGAACACTGATAAATTATTTCTATATACTTGGCCAATTCACAAACTCAAAATTCTTTCAGCATTTGGCAAAATATATTCTTCAAAGCCAAGCAAAGTTAAAACTTTCCATAGACTAAACCAGTTCTCTCCCACTTTACACACAACATATTTAATAAATGGCAGTACCTATATAATACATTTTCTTACATTAACAAACTGTAAATGTTTGTTTGATCAGTTTTGATCCTTCATTAATTACTGTTGACTCGTATCAAAGGGTTTCTTATTGATGCATACTAATCAGATGAGTTAAACTGCCATTACATTTACTGATGTTCATCTAAATACCAACAAATCTTCAAAAACTATAATGGTTGAAAACCAATAGCCAAACAATATAGTAACCATGTATAATTTCTTATTAAGTTAGCAAATAAATTCACCTAGTTGCATTTTGCTTGTTTGTTTTATGTTAAGCATTTTCAATTATGACCTTTTTCTACTTAGAACATCACTTGTGGATGTTTCAAATCCCTCACAGTAAACTACTTAATATTTAGAAGACAAAAGACTTCAAAGCTATAAAAAAAAAGATTTTTTTAAGACAAAATCATAAAACTGACCTACTTTTCAAACAGAAAAGTAAAACCATAACAAAGGATGTACAGTTTGGTCAACTTACAACAAATAATAGTATCAAATCAACAAATGTCATTTTCATTATGTCACAACAACAGATGTCAGCTTCATTAACTCATGACCAGATATCAGCTTCATTAACTCATGACAGATGTCAGCTTCATTAAGTCATAACAATAGATGTTATTTTCATTATGTCACAACAGATGTCAGCTTCATTAACTCATGACAGATATCAGCTTCATTAACTCATGACAGATGTCAGCTTCATTAAGTCACAACAATAGATGTTATTTTCATTAGGTTACAACAACAGATGTCAGCTTCATTAAGTCACAACAACAGATGTCAGCGTCATCATGTCACAACAACAGATGTCAACTTCATTAAGTCACGATAGATGTCAGCGTCATTATGTCACAACAACAGATGTCAACTTCATTAAGTCACGACAGATGTCAGTGTCATTATGTCATGACAGATGTCAGCTTCATTAACTCATGACAGATGTCAGCTTCATTAAGTCACAACAATAGATGCTATTTTCATTAGGTTACAACTAGAGATGTTAGTTTCATTAGATCACATGAAGAGATGTCAGCTTCATTAGGTCACGACAAGAGATGTCAGCTTCATTAGGTCACGACAAGAGACGTTAGCTTCATTAGGTCACAAGAAGAGATGTCAGTTTCATTAGGTCACAACAAGAGATGTTAGCTTCATTAGGTCACAACAAGAGATGTCAGTTTCATTAGGTCACAACAAGCGATGTTAGCTTCATTAGGTCACAACAACAGATGTCAGTTTCATTAGGTCACAACAACAGATGTCATTTTCATTAGGTCACAACAACAGATGTCAGTTTCATTAGGTCACAACAACAGATGTAATTTTCATTAGGTCACAACAACAGATGTCATTTTCATTAGGTCACAACAACAGGTGTTATTTTAGCAATTTCACAACAAGAGATGTCAGTTTCATAAGGTTAAGATGAAAGTTGTAATTTTAGCAAGATCACACAAAGAATATCAGTTTAGTAACAAGGGATGTCAGTTCAGTGAAGTCAGAACAAGAGATGTAAAGTTTCATTAGGTCTCAACAAGAGATATTAGCTTAATTAGGTCACAACAAGAGATATCAGCTTCACTAGGTCAACCACAGATGCCAGCTTCAGTAAGTCACAACAACAAATGTCATTTTTATTAGGTCACAACAAGAGATGTTAGCTTCATTAGGTCACAACAAGAGATGTAAGTTTCATTAGGTCACAACAACAGATGTTAGCTTCATTAAGTCACAACAACAGATGTCAGTTTCATTACATCACAACAAGACATGTCAGTTTCATTACGTCACAACAAGACATGTCAGTTTCATTTGGTCACAACAAGAGATGTAAGTTTCATTAGGTCACAACAAGAGATGTCAGTTTCATTAGGTCACAACAAGAGATGTCTGTTTCATTAGGTCACATCAAGAGATGTCAGTTTCATTAGGTCACATCAAGAGATGTCAGTTTCATTAGGTCACATCAAGAGATGTCAGTTTGATTAGGTCACAACAAGAGATGTCAGCTTCATTAGGTCACAACACGAGATGTCATTTTCATTAGGTCACAACACGAGATGTAAGTTTCATTAGGTCACAACACGAGATGTAAGTTTCATTAGGTCACAACAAGAGATGTCAGTTTCATTAGGTCACAACAAGAGATGTCAGTTTCATTAGGTCACAACAAGAGATGTCAGTTTCATTAGGTCACATCAAGAGATATCAGCTTCATTAGGTCACAACAACAGATGTCACTTCATTAGGTCACAACAACAGATGTCAGCTTCATTAGGTCACAACAACAGATGTCAGCTTCATTAAGCACAACAGATGTCAGCTTCATTAACTCACGACAGATGTCAGCTTCATTAAGTCACAACAACAGATGTTATTTTCTTTAGGTTACAACAACAGATGTCAGCTTCATTAACTCACAACAACAGATGTCAGCTTCATTAACTCACAACAATAGATGCTATTTTCATTATGTCACAACAAGAGATGTCAGCGACATTATGTCACAACAACAGATGTCATCTTCATTAAGTCACAACAACAGATGTCAGCTTCATTAAGTCACACCAATAGATGTTATTTTCATTATGTCACAACAGATGTCAGCTTCATTAAGTCACAACAGATGTCAGCTTCATTAACTCATGACAGATGTCAGCTTCATTAAGTCACAACAATAGATGTTATTTTCATTAGGTTACAACAACAGATGTCAGCTTCATTAAGTCACAACAGATGTCAGCGACATTATGTCACAACAACAGATGTCAGCTTCATTAAGTCACAACAATGGATGTTATTTTCATTATGTCACAACAGATGTCAGCTTCATTAAGTCACAACAGATGTCAGCTTCATTAAGTCACGACAGATGTCAGCGACATTATGTCACAACAACAGATATCAGCTTAATTAAGTCACAACAAGAGATGTCAGCGACATTAGGTCTCAACAATAGATATCAGCTTAATTAGGTCACAACAAGAGATATCAGCTTAATTAGGTCACAACAAGAGATATCAGCTTCACTAAATCATAACAAGAGATATCAGCTTCACTAGGTCAACAACAGATGCCAGCATCAGTATGTCACAACAACAGATGTCATTTTTATTAGGTCACAACAAGAGATGTAAGTTTCACTAGGTCAACAACAACAACAGATGTCATTTTCATTAGGTCAACAACAACAACAGATGTCATTTTCATTAGGTCAACAACAACAACAACAGATGTCAGCTTCATTAGGTCACGACAAGAGATGTCAGTTTCATTAGGTCACGACAAGAGATGTCAGTTTCATTAGGTCACGACAAGAGATGTCAGTTTCATTAGGTCACGACAAGAGATGTCAGTTTCATTACGTCACAACAAGAGATGTCAGTTTCATTACGTCACAACAAGAGATGTCAGTTTCATTACGTCACAACAAGAGATGTCAGTTTCATTACGTCACAACAAGACATGTCAGTTTCATTACGTCACAACAAGACATGTCAGTTTCATTACGTCACAACAAGACATGTCAGTTTCATTTGGTCACAACAAGAGATGTAAGTTTCATTAGGTCACAACACGAGATGTTAGCTTCATTAGGTCATAACACGAGATGTTAGCTTCATTAGGTCACAACACGAGATGTTAGCTTCATTAGGTCACAACAAGAGATGTTAGCTTCATTGGGTCACAACAAGAGATGTCAGTTTCATTAGGTCACAAAAAGAGATGTCATCTTCATTGGGTCACAACAAAAGATGTTAGCTTCATCAGGTCACAACAACAGATGTCATTTTCATTAGGTCACAACAACAGATGTCATTTTCATTAGGTCACAACAACAGATGTCATTTCCATTAGGTCACAACAACAGATGTCGTTTTAGCAAGTTCACAGAAAGGGATGTCAGTTTCATAAGGATAAGATGAAAGATGTAATTTTAGCAAGATCACACAAAGAATATCAGTTTAGTAACAAGGGATGTCAGTTTAGTGAAGTCAGAACAAGAGATGTAAAGTTTCATAAGGTCACAACAATGGAAGTCAGTTTAATATGGTCACAACTAGAGATGTCAAATAGTGAAGTCAGAACAAGGTATGCAAGGTTTCATATGGCTACAACCAGGAAGTCACTTTAGAAAGGTCATAACAAAGGATGTCAGATTAATGTGGTTATAACATGGAATGTACAGTTTGATAAAGCAATTCAATTACTATGAAATTGGTTCCCTCTCTTCGCTATCAGCTCAAAACTTGTACATAACAACAATAAACATGACAGATGCAAGTTAAAAGAAAAATAGTTCCATAAAGTGTTAGAATTAAATACTTTCAGATAAAATCACACATATAGACAAAATACAAACAAAACGAAGGAACCATCAAACTTACTTTGCCAACTGATATGCTTAGGGTATGGGCTCCTAGCTACAATAAACAACTGTAGTACCAACTGTGGAGCAGACTCCATGTAGCACTCAAACAAACGAAGCATGGCAGCATCGGAATCTTCATATACCATTTTACAATAATAATCCTTTTGTTCTTTTGCACTTTTTGTTTTGTTTGAAGATCGTACTTTAAATCCATACCATAAGGTTTCAAGGTACCTGTGTATATCAAGAACTGTAATTTATATAAATTGATACCACTTTTATTAAGCAGTACACTATTGCACTTTCTTAAATAAGCAAGATACCCATGTTATTAACACAAAACACTTTATTAAAAAAAAGTTTCAACCATCCTACTGCAGCTGTTGCCAAGCTCAAGATGAATGTGCCTGAAGGAAGATGGTCAAAATGTCACTCTAATAAAAAAAAGTATTTGTGTCAATAACGTGGTCAGTCTCACTCATTACAAACATAATTTGGCTTGACTATGAAAAAAAAATAATACTCTCACTATCAAAAACGTAACAGTCAGTTAAAGCTAGGTAATTAGTGAAATTTTCAAACTGAATAATCATCAGGTTCATTAGTCAATTACATTAAATTAATTAATTATTCTTACATGAGTTTACCTTCCATTTTTCAGCTTTTAGACATCTTCAGGTACAACAAAGTAAGATTGAATTGCTTTTTTTAATGTATGATATATGCAACTTTGTAACATAGAGTAGGTAGATGGCCAAGGTATTCAATAGGCATAATACAAATACGCTAAAAAAAATCGACAATGACAAAGATGATTGCCACTCACTTTCATTTATTTCTTTACCCAACATGCCCAAAAACAAGGCAAGAAACCATCACTAAGATACCAAACCACCAATTAGTTCATCTTTCTTTTTGTTTCAGTTGAGGTAACTCTATAAATACTTTATTACTAACATAAGATTAAATCTAAATCCACTCTGTGTGTTTCTGGGCAGTGTCATTGCTTAGTCGTAATAACTAGTAGTAATTAAAAACAAAATTATAATACTAGTGTAAATAATGTTATCATTACCCCTTGAAGTTAACTTTTTTTACAGAAGTGTGGTGTTCCTTTAAAAAGCTTAAGTACAGGGTGAAACAGGAATTACCAGCCAATAATGGATGAACATTAGATGACTGTAACATGTACAATACTCAATGCTTTGTACACTATACAATCAGTGTCTTTAGGGAGTTAACACCTATATTATGCATGAAGTGAAGGAGTAAAAAAAACCAAAACAATACACATAATATTAAATTTTATTACAGACATTCATAGAAACTATTAGCTTTCAGTCATGGGAAAAAATGTCACAAAACAAGATATAAAAACATTTTGTAAATGTAAAACGATGTAGGGATGGCAGTGCCAAAAAGAATGCAAACAAGAACTTAGGGATTTAATGTTACACTGTAAAATGCATACTTGACTTTAATGTTACTGCAGTTGGAATTAATATATTCATATATTCTTAACTGTTTATCATAATAGCATGGTCACGTCAGGATAAACATCAATGTAGTGTAACTAAGAGTCTAGGACTTACGTACAAGGAAAAACAAGTTGAGTCAAAACATGTTTTCATTATTACAGACTATTACAAACTCTTCCTACAAGGTTGATCAAATTGACCGATCTCATAACCATTTTGTACTCATGCATAATTTTACAGTGTAACATTAAATTTTAATATTGAAAGTCATGTAGGGATAATCTATGTATAACTGTATCATCCCTATATTCTTGTTTGAATTCTTTTTGGCACTGCCATCCCTACATAATTTAGAAAATGTATTTTCATTTCTTGTATAAATTTTGTAACAAACTGAAAATACCATTAACACCATTCCATGGGTGTCTCCCTATAAACCTTCACAAGATTGCTCTCATAAAATTACTGAAATTTTGTTTAAAAAAGTAAACATTACTTCATAACACTGATTATAAATCAGTAGTTACTAAACATAACAGTAACTAGTAGCATTACTATTAAGTACAGGTTAACATTAGTTACATGCACTTAGATCTGAAAATTGACTTTAGAATTTTATATAAACACGGCTACAACTAGGCCTTCAAACATATTGTTACGTCTCCGTTTGTTAATTAACTTCCCGTAACTTCGTTCCGACGAAACTTTAGCGACACAAGCCTTTACTTAATAAAACTAGTTTATTCTTTCCGAATATAACTCTGCGATACACTTAATCTCAATACTCGCGCTAAAACAACACTGTAACGAACGAACGTTAACTTCAACAATACCCTGTGACTGCTGTTCAATTACTCACTGTCTACACACACATTACATTACATTCCCGCGTCACGTTTTCCCCCTCTTATATATACCAGCCTACCCTATCTAGTAAATACTAGAGCATTCGCCAAAGTACATGATAGTTCTAGAAACGTTGCGTCACAGTAGTCATGTGACTCGCTGACGCAACAATATGAATACTTGAGGTGCATCTTTAATGTACAAAGAGATGATAAATTTAACACCACATGTCATTAAGATTATCAGGGGTATACTATTGGTCATTAGCTCATTAACAACAATATTCAAATGCAAACATGCACTAATTGATTGAGCTGTACAAGTTAGCAAATTTTTATGAATGGGCAGCTACAACAAAGAATTATAAATAAAAAAAGTATTCTCCAAATAATATCAATGTGTATTTTTTCTTAATTAATTAGAAATTCCAACAAGAGTCCTTCAGGCCAAAAAACATTCACTGGAGGGCACAAAGGCCACAGTATACATTAATGTTAACAGAACATAAACGAGTTTCCCAATTAGTTTAGTAAATATGGCATTAACTATTTTTTCACTCGGGGCTTTGGAAGCTGGCCTATCCATCCAGATTATGTTTATCAGGTAGGTAAGTATTACCTTTAACCAATGAGACTTATGAAATAACAGTACATCAGCTTTAAGATTAAAAAAAAAAGGTATCATGCTGATCTAAAATGCTCTCCTAGGTTTTTGCCTCCTCCTGATCCCAAATGATATTTGACCTGAAAATTCTATACAACTTTTAGGCATCTATTTCCACTTATTAATTTGTCTAACTTTGAGAAGGATCAAACAAAATCTCTGGAAGGAGAAGCATTTTAAAGGTTTCCAGGATTTGACCTCTGGTGACCTTACAAGTCATGAACAAATTTCAGGCATCTCTATACACTTACTAATTTCTCCAAATTTGATAAAGATCAGACTTACACATAAAGAGAACAAGTGCTTTATAAGATTTCTAGCTTTTGTCCCCTCTTGATCCCAAATGACCTTTGACCTAAGAATTGTATACGACTTTTATGCATCTCTATCCAATTATTACTTTTGTCTAACTTTGAGAATGATCAGACAAAATCCCTGGGAAGAAAAGTTTAAAATCCTAATTTCTACCAACAAAATTCAACCCTCAACATGTCTGACTACTTGACCAAAATTGACGAAAATCAGTTACACAGTTTCCGAACAGTAGCCCTTGAAAATTTTGACAGAAAGACAGATAGATAGAAAGACACACTGCCATGACATGAGGTCAACATTCTATTTCCAAACAATACTCCTACTAGAATTTTTTTGCATAATTCTAACGTAGGCTAGTGCCTATAAACAGTAAACTAGGCCTACACTACAGTATATAGCACATGGTCATAACCTACAAATCATGCGTCGTCACACATTGCAATGCCCAGTTTGCTACTTGTAATTCAGTAATGTTAACCCTAGCTAGCTATGGCTAGTAGGCCTATGGCTTTGGTGGGTTTGCACATAAAATTTATCAAGCCGAAATGTTGACAAATCTTATTTCCTTTCTTTTTCTAAACAAGAGAGAATTCTCAATAGCCACAGCACTTGAAATTCTTTGAGGCAGGATAAGAGTAAATTAATCTACGAGACCTTTTTTTCCTTTTTATTAGCTATATTTTTGTGCACCAGCAATACCAAGTGTGCTGTGTGTGTATATCCAATTCAATTTTATTACTCAACAGGATCTCTACCAGCCTACCCTCAAATTTTTTAGGCAGGATTAAAGTAAATTAATCTAGACCTTGGGTGTGGTCAAATACAGCAGTTGAAAGGGTTTGACTTCCTCAGTCCTAAACTGTAATTAGATGTAAAACTGATCAAGAGATGACAGAGCTATAAGCTAAAAGTTTGTATTTGAAAAAACAACAGCAACAAAACTCAAAGCCATTCTATGAGCCACTATGCCACGACTAAAAACAGGACCTAATCTACATATTTACCAATGAAAAAAAGTTCGAATTACTGGCACTTGGCCGCCACAGAAAAACGTTTCACTCATTCCTTTTTCAGCATGTTTAATGCAAGAAGTATTTGCAGTCACGCAATTCACTCTGACCAGCATGTGCTAACTTTGATCTTTACATACCCTGCTTTGTGTAAGCTCTGTGGGTTTGTTGTTTGAGCACCAATTTGCATTGTTTGCTACTACTAAGAGTCTGCAGTATGGTATGACTCAACAAACTGCACAAATGTTTTACTGCTAATCAAAGCAAAATCTTCACTCCCTCCACTACATGCATTTTATGTGATATATTATTCATAACAAAGTAGTTTCTGTAGGTTGTAACTCCAGTATTTGTGATCCTCAATGGTTTTCCCTTTACTGTGGTATGCAAGACAAATTTAGATTGTGAGGGCATGATGGCCAAACGGTGGCCATTGTGACTGTGGATTTTAGTGATTTTTTTAGATCCCCACGGCCACTTTGAAAAGTATGGCAGGAAATGCCACCATGAATTTCCTGCCCTGGTCCTTGGTTAGAACTTTCGAAATCTTAGTAAGATATAAGAATGACACCCATACACAAAAGATAAAAAGGACAAAGTAGTCAATTGGGATATGACTAATCATAAAGAGAAGAAAAGGAAGCAAGGGAGATTGGAAAAAATATCCAATGAACCACTTGAGTATCCCAAGTCTTGGGGAGAAAGGAGCAGTCTGAAAAGAAATTCAACCTATCACTATAGGGGAACAATGCAAGAAGCAATCAAAGAAAAAATATCAGAGCAATGTGTCTCTAGCAAGCAAGGAGGAAAAGAAATATGTTGTAAGAGAAAGATGACACAGGAAACAAGTAGCCAAAAGTTTGAATGGAGGTCATGTAAGAACTGTAAGAATTATACAGAAGTTCCAATCCAGATGAAGAAA